TCTTCTTCCCAGAACAAAACACTGGGCCTGAAGACACACAAGATCCCGTAGCGTGGCTTTCTAAAGCTCCGGCCACCCTCCACCTTTTTGTGCTCTTTATGAAAAGAAAGAGGTATGCGACTTTTACTTCCCCTAAGGAGTTTGTTCAGATCCGCTGCCTGGCCCACGTGAGGATTTCCATACAAGCACGCGGTGAAGGCGGTTGGAGAGAAGAGGAAACAAGGCGCGACTTCTGCGGGAGGAATCCCCGCTCCTGCTATCCCGAAATGTCTATCCCCAACCCCAGCGATCACCCAACAACCCTGACGGATGCACCGTCTCTACCAGTATTTGCGGGCTGGGACCACGAAGCGAATAACAAAACACAACTAACAGTCTTGACTTCCATCTGCCTTCAGGTTCCCGTGGCTACTACGAATGTTTGCTTCACTTCGTTATTTGGGGTCCTACAATCCTTATTATTTTACCTGTGGCTACTAAATCAGTACTTCCCGTATTTTTGACAATTGCCTGTCGTAATCCACAATTGGAACCTGCATTATTTTTAAACCGAGCACCATTACCTTGCTTTTCCAATAGGATACGTTAATTCTGGCTTTGGCCCGATATCCTGGGAATGATCATTTTTCCTCATTTTCTACCAAGCAGTCACCAGAACTGCCTACGGTAACAAGGTGCTCTCCACAAAATAATCACTTTGGCTTCATTTACAACTACAAGTAGCATGACCAATATGTCATTCATGTTTGCTCGGTGACATTCACGAGCGTATCGGTGACCTCAAAACAGTCACTCTCACTGTCTGAGAAGGCAGCCTTGTAACTTACCAGAGAAGATCAAGAAGGCCGCTAGACACCAGCACGCCTTTGCCAGGCTAAACCGTCCCATCAGCCATCATACGTCAAAACGCAGTTTTGAGGCCAATTAAGCGGTAAGAGCCTCCCTCCAGTTTTTCAGGAGCGACTATAAAGCGCGACAGATGGAGAGCGATTAAAAACCATAAGGGTTTTGAACGTGACCTCATTTACCTGAGGAAGAATAATGCAACACAAAAAAGGTCACTCTGGATTATAAATAAAAGGATGAGGGAAGGCTTGCCTCATGCGCAAGACACGAAGCCTAACCAAGCAGGCAAGGGGCGATCTCTCGACGGGCAGCAGAGCTTCCACCTACCTCTCCCACTCAAACATTACCCTACCTCAACCGGTTTAAACCTCCAAGTTGCGAGCAGATGAAGGAACGCTTTTCCTGAAGTAACCCAGCTACTAAACCAACAGAGAAGTTGCAAGCAAATCTGTATTACAACGTTCTTGAGCAAAATTACTTCTTTTAAAAGAACTTCTGACTAAGCATCTCGGAGGAAAATCTCCCTTCAAATGAGAAACTATCCTGGAAGTACTGACTGATGTTCCGATCTCTGTCTGAGGAATAATAGTATCATCTGCACCACTGTGGATCCGCCAAGTCGCACGGGACTGCCATCAAAGCTGTCAGAAGCACCAAACCAGCAACGCCGCTGTTCCAATCAGCTCTTGAAAAGGTTTATTTAATTTTACAATAGAGTTATCAGGACAATGCTTTACGTCTCTTCCTGCTCACCGTCTTGGTTTTGGCCCCAATTATACTGCACCTCATCATCTTGGAAAGAGAGAAGCTATTTTTAGAAGCTCATTCGGAAGCCTGCTTAGTAACTACAGCACAATATCTAACAGCAGACTCTTCTTTCAGCAGAGTAAACATCCTCAGAGGCTGGCAATAAGTAACCCCGAGATAAACGCCGGGTGCACTCCGCGCTCGTGTCGGGAGCGGAGTCATCTGGGAGTTCAGGGAGACGCTTCCCAAGCGATTACTTGCGATGCACCGCTGCTAACAAGCAGCGGAGCACTTGGGGTTACTGTTACGCACTGACTCGGCTGAGGGTCTGCTCGTCCTCTCATTCCTTCATTAGTCGAAAGCTCTGAACAGGAGCGAACCACAGATCCCACTGAGGCTGCTTCACCTTGAAACAGCACCGATCTACGCAGCACATCCTGAGAGCAGAGAACAGCTCCTGGCTGGGTCACCTCGACACAACAGCCCCCAAACTAGAACAACGGGAGGATACTCCCCTGCGATGGCACTGCAGCTGTACCCTCCGCAATCGTCAACGACAATACAACCGTTGCTAGGACTGCAGCGTCCAGAGTCCCTCAGACAACACCGGATCGTAAGATTAGAAAGAGCAAGTTGCTCTTTACAGGGCTCAAGTGCAGCGTGCCCATTCCGACAGTATTACCGAGCACGCAGATCAGTCTTGTCAGCTTGCTAGAAGGAAAATGAGAATATCCAGTGTTAGGAGGTAACAATACAGCCAGTCTCTCGCTATCTGGCCAAATCGCGAGCAGCCGAACAAACTAACTTACAGCAGCAGCCCACTAACAAAACACAACTGGTCCCGGTTCCATCCCGGAGGAGAAATTCTGATTTACCGTTTCCAGTCTGAACAAAGACGGATGCTTTTCAGAGCACCTGAAACAGTCCCATTCTGGTCGCAACAAGCTTTCAATACCACCTCCAAGGAAGAGGGTCAGCCAGACTATTACCTAGAAAGATTTAGCTTGCGCCCGCTGAAAGCAAAGCGAGACCAAAGCCTCCGGGACCACATCTAAGAGACCACTGGCAACACACCGCGTCTGGCAAGCGAAATCTCTCTCCCTTGCGGTTTCACAATGGACCTTTAGAAAGCAATGCTTCAGCTGGACTTGGACAACTGGGGAAAGGAAAGAATTCTAGAGCTCGTCGTTAAATAAAAGTCAACGTAACTAACAAAGCTGCCCGACGCACCAAAGCAGCAGGTTGCAAAACGTCCGCCACTTCTGCACACACACACGGCCATGCTCTAAAGCTGCCGTATCGATGCATTAAAAAAAAAAAAAAAAAAAAAAATCTATAGTAGCGGCAAACTCATCTTTTGCTCCTAAAGAAACGTACACCACCCGGCAAAGCACGAAAGCTTTGTTAAAGTCAAACTATGCTTTATAGCTTGGCTCGGGGGGAACAGCTCACCCCTCTATGGGACGTTTGTGGTATCCCTTTACCTTAAGGTCCGAGAATTCACTTGCTGTTGGTGCACAAGACTGAACTGAGGGGGCTAAACGTAACGAACTGCCATATTCTCAGTAAAAAAACAAGCCCGTCAAAACCCCAGAGGCTTATGTTGCATGGCCACCTAGCTGAAAGGGTTCGATTGCTGGAGAAGCATCACATTTGAGTAGTTTGCAAGAACCCCCATTCTTTGCCAAAGTCATCCGCAGCGGCCACCAGTGCTGGAGAGAGGCACAAGACGCAGCATCTCATCTGTGACCCTCTCTGTCTGCCCTTTACCAATACTTGACTGCAAACCAGCCTGCAGTTCGTGAGATGAGGATGCCGTCCAATAAATGCCAGATACAGTCTCCTCAGGCAGCCTACAGGACAGGTCAAGAAACGGAGCCGCGGTTTAACCCCAGCCGGCAACTAAGCCCCACCCAGCCGCTCGCTCACTCCCTCCCTCCCCGCGGTGGGACGGGGGAAAGAATCGTAAGGGTAAAAGTGAAAAAAGTCGCAGGTTGAGATAAAGACAGTTTAACAGGCAAAGCAAAAGCCGTGCGCGTAAGCAGAGCAAAATGAGGAATTCATTCCCTACTTCCCATCGGCAGGCAGAGGTACAGCCATCTCCAGGAAGGCAGGGCTCCATCACGCCTAAGAGTGACTTGGGAAGACCAACACCATCGTTCCGAACGTCCCCCTCTTCCTTCTTCTTCCCCCAGCTTTCCATGCTGAGCATGGCGTCATATGGTGTGGGATATCCCTGTG